TCAAATACCATAATTCTGGGCTGATGTTGCACTCGAAGTGCAATATGGATACTCTTAAACTGGGTGGTCCCCATTTGTAGAACGGCTATGTTGTAGAACAACCACGACGACTGGAGTTTCATACGCCTTTTAACAAAAGTAATCACATAAAACCGGAATATATATCTCATTTGTTTTTATATTTAAATTTAATACATGAATTGATAGATTTATAAGTAATATGTTTTTCGTTAACAATAGTTTTCTCATCTTGAAAGCTGAGGGAATAAGTTAACGAGTTAAATATTTCATCATTCTAAAATTTTTGAAGAATGTGCAAGTGAGGATCCACAAAAAAATCTATAAATAACATGTTTGTCGCTAACAATGGCTTTTCTCATCTTGAAAGCTAATGGAATATAGTTGTAGGAGTTCAATATTTCATCATTTTAATAACTTCGAAGAATGTGCAAGTCAGCATCAACAAAAATCTAATTGGTACATCACCTGATGACTTGGGATCTAATAAAGCAGTAAGAGACTATATTGTTCACTTAAGTATTGGAGAGAATATATTATGACTTGGGCAACCTAATTGAGGTGTGTTTCTTGAATGGGAAATCTCACACCCGTTTTCCTCTCTTATTTTACATCATTTATATTTCACCATTCATCTATATGCTATTTTTTTTGTCCAGATATATGCACTTTGACTTTCATCGGATATGTGGGGATAATGATATTGAGTGGATTTCCATTCTCTATCATCGAATTGAGACTTATATGTTAAATAACAGGTAACTTTGCTAGAGATGTCCTGTTATATGTGTTATTGTTATTTCCTTGGGTGCCACAAACGTAAGATTTTTCTGACTATTAGTTTATTTTCATAAAACTTAACTCAGTTTCATTACATTTATAATAATATACATATTATGGGCAACTGATATTTAAGTTATTGTGAAAACCTGGAATACAATTTTCAATAATACTCGAATTGATTTGTCTAGTATCAGGTAGCAGCTTTTCCAATAAATTCCATAAAATGATCACATCACATGATCATTTAATAATATTAATGATGACAGTGAAAACGTTTAGTAAAAGATCTATTTGGTTGTTGCACTTAGAGGCACAATTTGAGATGATCAGATAAATTGAACTAAGGCTATAATTTTATTCACCCGTGTAATTTCTCAATTCCTAACCTGACCTGTGGTTATTTTTATTGAAACAGTTGTAATATTAACGTTTTGCTTTGCTGGTCAAACCAAGGTTTTTGTGTTGTTTTCAAATCGAGACATTTCAGTTACTTCTGTTGTCTTTTATATTCCTAACTACATTGTTGGGAATTTTCAGGTACCTTTTATTAAATGATAAGGGGGAGAAAAATGAGAGACAAGTTGGAGTGGTAAGAACCAATTGTATTGACTGCTTGGACCGTACTAATGTCACCCAGGTATAATTTTTCTACTTGTTATTAGTATTAATGTTGTGTAATTTTGCCCCTTTCAATGTTGAAATAAGTATCTTTTCGAAGTCTAGTATAGTATTGACTAGAGAATAATTGACATTGCTCATGATATCTAAGTTATTTGGAACAGAACTTTATTCCTCATTGGACTCAATTGATAGACCATGCAGATGAATAGTGCTTAAACAAATTACTACTTCTGGTTAATTATTATTAATGAAATTTCAGTTGTAAGAACATGTAGGAACTTGAACTTACATATATGTCTGTTGAAAGAATAAAAAATATCCCCTAAGCAAACCTCCGGAACTTGACCAATTATAGTTCAGTTGGGTGGCTTTCCATCTCCTCAGGTTGATTTGGCTGTCCATCCTCTGAAACAGTGATTGTTGGGTATTGTTTCGGTCAGTCGCAAATGTAGGATATGAAACCATCACCAGAGATCCTATTGTTGTAAAGATCAATAACAACTTAAATTAATCACGTCTTACAAATTGAACCTGTGAGTTGGGGCCCTTTCTGCTCCTCACAATGGTTTCCTCTCAAATGTCTAACTATGGAATATGGTTCAGCTTTCTTTTATAGCTTCCGAAATTTAGAAAATGGCTTAAGCAGCTTTCAATCCGTCCAAGTGCCTTAGCTTGTTGTGATAGCTTCATTCCAGTTTGTTCTTTGCCTTAAAACATAATAATTAAGTTAAAAAAATGGAATTAGGAACAGTTACTCTACAATCCTCCGATAATTTAAGATTACCAATTAGTTTTACTTGTTTCTCTTGGTCTCCTTGTTTGTCCATTGCAAATGGAGCTGGAAGAGTCACTACAAGAAATCTGCCAAACAGTGACGAAAATTCATGTGACGAAAAACAAATCGTCACCGTATGTTGCCTTATGGTGACGAATTTGAGAAATCGTCATTACATCATTGCATACGGCGATGACTATTACATTCGTCATCTTAGAATTTATTTTTCGTCACATAATGGTATTTTTCATGACAATGCACATCAATTCGTTACCTTTACATCTAAGTTCGTCATATGTATATAACATGTGACGAAATTAAATGTGACAAACAGAATGTCGTCACTGTCGTTGTTATTTAAAATGACGCTTACGACTAATTTGTCATTATATAATTATTTATTGTGACGATACATTATAATACATCTAAATTCGTCACATTAATACATATTATGACGAAATTCAGTGCGACGAAATAAATATCGTCGTTTTTTTATTTATTTAAAATGACGCTTACAAAAATTTCGTCATTATATAAATTTGTGTTGTGACGATACGTTATAGTTCATCTAAATTCGTCACATTAATACATATTATGACGAAATTCACTTTGACGAATCAAATTCGTTGTGTTTTTAGTGTATTTAAAATGACAATTATGCATAACTCGTCGTTATATAACTTTCTTTTGTGACGATACGTTATAATACATCTAAATTCGTCAAATCTATACATATTATGACAAAAGTCACTATGACAAAAACAAATCGTTGTACTTTTAGTATATTTAATATGACACTTACAAAAAATTCGTTATTATATAGTTTGTTTTGTGACTATAAATTATAATAGGCTTAATTATCACCTTTTTGGAATTTGTAATTATGTGCACCACTTTTAAAGTTAGAAAATATATACACAACTTTGACTATTATTGAAAATTCGATGCACAGGGCCCAATTTCGGGCTTTGTCTACTGACATGGCTGCTGAGATGTCAGCTTTTCTGCTGACATGGCTGTTGATATGACAATTTGTGTTGACATGGAGATAAAAAAAATAAAACGTTACTAAGGTTCGAACTTGTGATCCCCAAGGTTGCATATTGGCATTATAACCACCACACCAATCCAAGTTGTATGCTAAATATAATAGCGTTTAACATATATAGACATTACATATGAATAAATAAAATTAAATTTTGAAGATAATGTAGATTATATTAAATTATATTAATAAGATACAAACTTATAATAATTAAAGTATAGTAGAATAAATTATATATATTANAGTATGTTTTTTCTCTTGTCAAAGTTATACATGTTGCTGCAGTTTTGGGCATTGGATCTTTTGTAACTTCATATAATTTTCTCATTCACCTCCTGATGCACCAGCTGGGACCAACCGACAAGTGGAACAGTATTTTCTCAGTTGCGGCTTGGCTATTATGGACGTGGCGAAATGAGCGGATATTTCAACATAAAACTCTAAGCTGCGAGGCCCGAGGATTGGAGGTATTACGCATAACGGACACCTATGTCCGAGCTGAAGTGGCTTACAGAAGAGTTGGGACTGCCAACTATGTTACTCGTATGATTCGATGGTCCCCTCCTGGACCGGGATGGATTAAACTGAATACTGACGGTGCATTTGATAAACGCACGAGGTTGAGCAATGCGGGAGGCTTGATTCGGGATGAAACGGGACAATGGACCGAGGGTTTTCTTCTGAATATTGGTTCCTGCACCATTACGGGAGCCGAGCTATGGGGTCTATTTCAGGCGCTCCTATTGGCATGGGATTCGGACATCGACAAGTCATTGCTGAAATTGATAGTCAATGTGTTACGAGGATGGTCACGAATGTGGATGGCTCATTTGGAGCCCACGAGGCTATGGTTAAGGCCATCCGAGAATTAATTCAGAGGGACTGGACTGTGCAAATTCAGCATGTGCACAGAGAAACAAACTTCGCAGCTGATCATATGGCGAGCGTGGCGGCTTCATATCCAATTGGATTGCATCGAGTTTCTTTACCGCCAACAGGATTAGGTGCATGGATTGAGCATGATAGTATTGGGGTGTCATACCCCCGGCAAGTTTTAGCCTAGCCATTTAGCCTCCTTGTTTGTACCAAAAAACAAAAAATCGAAAAAATAGATGTTATATATATGCGACATTGTCAGCGAGAGAAGCTAAAAATCGGAAAAATTAAAGCATAGGGCATGTAAATTGAAAAGAGTCGAGTAAGGAC